GTTAGCAGGATGGTAAAACTGTATTTTACCGCTACTTTACTACTGTACTGCACACTTTCATCCAGAGGTTTCATTTAATCGGTAGTGGGACTAGCATCCAGCATATGTGTCTCAGAATTTTGCAGGACATGATGTCTCCCTCTCAACCCTTATTTAATATACACTTACGTGATGCTCGTTGTCATGGTAACGTCTACACTAAGTGGTACTCTACGTATGTGCATAATTTTGGATCTGACTGCATGTGTGCATGTAAAGGGAGATTTTCATCAGATTGTTGAGGAGCATGTGCATATAAACACCTAGGTCCTAATTTATAACTGGAATAAGTTCAGTTGATACAGGGAAAATCTTTGCATGTAAACATAGCCAGTGTCACGGTAGGGATATACAGGAAGCGCTAAAATGTTATGCTAATTAGTCACAAATCTCTGAAACATTGATGCTTACTGTAGTGAGTACAGACAGAGAGCATCAGAACTGACCTGAACTAACTTCATGTGCGATATCCAGCCCAGGAAGAGCTGGACGCAGACAATCAAGGAGCTCCAGAGGGGGTATGTGTGTGTATAGAGAGAATGAAGCAGAAAGAACACATTGAAAGAAGTACACTCTGCAGTATGGATGAGTAGGCCTGGAAAGAACACTGAGCTCTCAGTGATGGACAATTCTCTTGCAGCTTGGAATTCACACAAGGTCTTGCTTCATTTTCTACTTGCCAAAGTCATCAGCAACACCCTATATATCCCCGAAGCATTCAAGAAAAAAAATGACCAGATGTTTCTGGCACATAGTACATGCATCAGTGGTACCCTGATTACAACATAAACAGGGCAAATCCTTTAGGTTCTCAGGCTAACTTGCACAATTTAGTAAGATTATACCATTTGCTCAGTTAGCTCGCTATTTGATGTGATCCAATGGCGGAGCAGTGATTTTAATCCTGATTCCAGAGGCCCCTTGCTTGGTACGTTTTAGTGTTTTTCCTGCTGTAATACTCCCACTTCAACTGAGTAAGGGATTGTTCTGTAGCTAATGAGTTGGATCAGGTGTGTTGGATCAGGGATAACACTAAAATGTGCAGTGCTGTGGGCCTCTAGGACCAGGGTTGAGAACTGTTATTTTAGAGGAATGTACATATCTTTGTGTATGTCATCATACCATTGATGTTATTTATATAGAGCAATGGCCAGGTAAGCAATTCACATCCTTACTCAGAATTACTCAAGAGATGACGCTGCCTCTAAGTAAGCAGCCAAAATCAATAATTGACAAATTACAACCGTTTAATGCCCTGCAAAGTACCATCTCAAGAGTGAGAGAGAAAGACAGCGAAAGGAATGAAAGGGAATCACCGAACATATAATTTAATCCTTACTAAACACAGCTGTGGAGTCTGACATAAGTGTACATATCAATAGAGAAATGACAACCCTCTTGCCTTTAATAGCCAGTAAAACTCTTAGAGCTTTGCATTATACTTACTGAAATGGTGCTCCAACAAGGCTTGATCAGTCAATGACACTCAGCCTGTAGTGCTAATAATACCAGTGCTGAGTACAGATCAAAAATGGGTGATGCTGTTTGGCTGGCAGCTGGCTGGCTCCAATACACAGTGCATTGTTAAGCACTGGGACAATAATGTAAATCTTTTAAAATTCCCTATATTCTGTATTTGTTACAATGTTAAAAAGTGTTGTTCAAAGTTAAAGAGACAAGGGTCTACTACTTAGAAAAAGAAGAGATAACAGTCTTTGCAAAAACAGGGAGAAGGATGACCAACCATAAGCCTCCCTGTCAAGAACAAATGCAAACATTTCTCAGTTCGAAACACAGAGAAGGTGAGACCACTAGGCATCAAACACAGAAAAGCATGAAACTTGCAAATGACCACAAGTCATTTAATTTAGACAGTGAGCCCTCTTTCCAAGAAACAAATCTCAGAACACATCTTTTGCTAGAGACAGCGAGAACAGTTTGATCCCTCAAGGCTCTGCAAGTTAAAATGTAACCCATATGCTGTTTTGACTATTGCCATAGACTGCACAATAAACCATATATGAGATGAAGCATAAAACTGAGCTTTGTGTGTGTGTGTGCTACACTAATTAACATTATGGTCTAAAACAAGCTTTTCACTCTCTTTTATGCATTTTTCCACCCCCTCAATAATTAATGCTGTCTACTAAAACATTTTCTAGGGAAAACACTTGAGTATAGCACAGACCCAAACCTTACTAAGACAAAATCTATAGCAGAAGTGCACAGCTCTGGTCCTGGCGGGCCCAGCACAGTTTGATGACCTCCTTGCTCAAACACACTTGATTCAACTCATCTGTTAATTGCCAGGTTTAGTAGGTATAGGTATAGACACTATGTCGCACACTTAGGTTGGAGTACAATTAGAATATAAAACTTAAACAGTCTATGTGTGTTGTTAGGTGAAGCAGGATTACCCCTAGCAACTAGCAAAGAACAAAACTTACTACTATAAGGTTTTTTAACTTTGCCACTGCTATACATTCTCATGTTCCATACAGCAGCTAGCCTACTCATCAGTCAGTCCTATCAGTCCTATAACTATCCCTCTCATATATATATATAGCCAGGAAATACCTGATGAAAGCCAAACCCTGACTGGAGAAGTTCAGGAATCAGATACTCCACAGAGGGCAGTGGCGCAACAAAGACATCAAAATAGGACAGAAAATCCAAATTAACTCACTGTGGAGCTCTGCAAAAGGTTTCTTAAAGGGTGTTGGGACAGTTAAGTACACCATGACTCCCAATGAAGCAATGATGGCGAGGCACCTTGCCTGCATTTAATGAGCCAATTTGTATTGGCCAGTCACTGCTCTCTCCCTCAACTTGGGAGTAGAATATACAGTACTTGGAGGCCAGACACTTGGAGATGCCTCAGTGGCTACTGTAACTTCCACCCTGCCAGCTTAAACCTCAGAACAAGCACTATGAATATTCACTCCACTGGAAAGCAGCTGATGAAAGTCTCAGTGCTAATCTTACTTTCACTGCTAATACCATCATCTGCGGAGACACTTTATTTTGAGCGGTCCTTTTTAGATGAAACAAACACTTAATGGACTCTCAGTAACATGTCAAAAACGTATGAAGGTTAGGATTAAGTTTTGGGTTGAGGCTAAGGTTAGGGTTAGGATTAGGCCCAGGGTTAGGGTTAGGTTTTGGGTAAGGTCGGGTAAGGTTACCTGACAGGTGATTAAACAGCAAAATATAAAAACACAGACATGGCTTATGCAGGGAAGAGTCCGTAAGAGTCCATATTAAAATGTTCATTATTGTGACTTATTTGATATTATTGTTACTGATGTCCTGAACTGATCTAGCGAATCCAGATCAGAGCCGATCTAAGCACATTTTAACCGATCAGCGAATCAGCAAAATAAAACCTGACCCAATTCTGATCCTGTACTGCTGAATGTAGTGTCTAAGATAGTTGTCAGTGTCGGGTAGATATTCATTGACCTAGCAGAACCAAAGCCAAGCTGTTATGTCTGTTCCCCAAAACAAACAAAATTTCTGAAGAACTCAGAAAATCTGTTCTAGCAACATGTTCAATATGAAACTTGTCCAGCCAATTTGCAATCACAGCACCTTTGATCTAAACTAGGACTGCTGAATGTCAGATCCCCCACATCTAAAGCCATCATTGTAAACAAAATTATTACTGATCAGAGTTTTATGCTCTATGTCTCACAGAAACTTGGATTAGACTGGAAAAATATGGAGATTCAAGTGAGGCTAACCTATCAGGCTACGGTCGTGTACGCAGACCTCGTTTAAAGATGAAAGACATGCAAACATTTGTAACTGCATGACAAAACTTCTCATTTACAATTACAGAGTGGTTTGCAGCTCATTTTAGAATGGGGTCACTATTTCTCTTACCATACGCCTAAGAAGAAAAAAGATCCGAAGAAGACGGTCAGAGAAGCTCAGGTGTATTGTTATACAGAGGTCATAAGATGTGAAATATGTTAACTTGTGGCCAAATGCAGAAGACAGGTTTCGTTACTGTAGCATTGTGGTCTATATACATGTTTTTTGCATCCTACTTACGTTACTGACATAGAGGTGCCATAAATGGGTACAACTTGCAGCAGTGAAGTGTGCACTGAGAAGGTGACAAAGAAATTGAAACGTCTGCAGTGTGGAACTTTTGTTGAAAAATGAAGCCCTACAGAATCTGCAGAGGCAATGTTTGAACTATTTGCTCCCATATAACATGGGCAAGTGCACCTTACTGCAAGTGTAATACCACTAAGAACACGTACAAAATACACAACCACTAAGTTTTCCCCTGTAACTGTTGTCCGTGGTTAAAATTAAACGACTGTGGAAAAGTTCTGCTAAACCGGCTGCGCCGTGTGCTCTGGTTTAAAATTTGTCATTAGCAGTAACACAATTAAAACTGAAAGAACAAAGCAGGCTACTGTGTGTGCATTAGACCAGTTTGTATGGCTATATTCATATAAATTACCCACAAAGAATCAAAAAGATATCAGTTAAGTGTGTATGTGATTATGCTTCAGCATTTAAAAGTAACTTAGACAAACCATCAGCTCAGTTAACCAAATTGAATCATAAATCAGTACTAGGTAGGCAGTAAAATTTCTGTAAAATTGCCCTAAAAATTTAGTAAACAAACCCGTGGTGTCATTTTATGATCACACTAAAAAGAAAGTAAATTTACTCTGGTATTATTTGGCAGTATAGCACATCTTATGCAAATTGGCTACATTATCTATGAAAATATAAACATCAACATTGGCCGAAACTCAGCATGGAAGTAAATTCTCCAAATAAGTGACTAAAAAAAACAGTGTGAGGATCAAGTGTTGTTCCTTGTCTTGCACCACTAGTGATGTATTAAAGAGCAGGTGAAAACTAACATTAAAAAATTTGAAATCACTTCACTCAAACTAACGACACAATCACTGTTGTCTGCAAACAGCAGATGTTACCTGATGGAAAATGCTCATTGACTGGCCAGTTGTCAACCTGTAGTGTAGCATTTCCTCCATTCCTAGTGAAGCGTACCAAGTGATACTTCCCATCATTCACTGCTGTGGTGGTCTCTTTGACAGTGATGTCCACTGTGCCAATGTTAAACGTCACGCCTACTTTGCCTTCCTCCTGGAACACACACAAACAAAAACATTATGCTTGAGAAGTGCACACACATAATTGCAAATTGCATCACTCTTTGAACTTTGCACAACAGAAGGTCACTTTTAAAAACGTTTCCAGAGAAGCTATAAATTGGACCAAAAGAAAATTCTGTAGAAGCTAAGCCTGCTGCATTATGTAAACTAATTTGATAAAAATGAACAGCCAGCATGAATGTGGGAAATTCAAGTAGAAAAGACTAATGCACTTCAAACTGTGCCATTACAAATGGAAAGATAGGTACTTCGCCAAAGAGGAGCAAGTGCAAGATCTATGTCTTGGCATCACCATAGTTCACATTACTTTCATGGCCCTTCAGTATGGGTGTTCACGGGCATGCGCACACTAAAAAAGGAAACGATTTTAAGATGGACTGATGGTTGATCCCTGGTGATGCTACAGCCATCCATGGCTGGGAGTCAAAGAGAGCACAACTGGCCTTGTTCCCTCTGAGTGGGTGGGATGGCCCCCCCTCTCCCCCGCATCACTCAGCACGATGCTAGTCCGTGCAGGTGTCTGTTAGCTTATGTAACAGAACTGGCGGTTGGCGCTTTCCTCCGAGCGTGTTCAGCTGTCCAGTGAAGTTGCGTTAGCGTCAGTTCGAAAAGATTCGGTGGCTCACTTCACAGGACTCGGATGAAGCCTGCGCTAGGCTAGTGGGTGGAATTTACTAAATTGGGGGAAAATAGGGAAAAATCAAAAAAAAAAAAATGGAATGACAATGTATCCCCCATCCGTCACTTTGTTTATTTAAAATCCTCACTATATGACAAATATTGTTGATTGTTCATCTCCTCCACATTATTGCCAAGCTCTAAATGACTGGTGCTGGGAATACTGTAAGAAATTCAGGGTCATTTGATTTACAAATACAAGGCACACTTTGAAAAATGCACAAAACAAGTTAAGTTTTTCACATATATTATTGTGGCAGTACTTCTGTTTTAAAGGTCAAAAATCTTCGTAGTGTGCATTCATACGGCCTCTGTTATGCACCACAGTCTACTCTAGGAGTCCATGAATTACCTTTACGGCGTCGCTCGAGGTGGCTGCCTGTTCCAGTAGCTCTGTGTCTGTGTCTTCTGTTTTGTTTTTTTTTGTAAATAGCATCTTTTTATCCACTTCCTTTCTTTTCTGGATATTGAGGCCTGGTCTAAAGTTGTTATACAACTTTTTAAAACCTTTAATTGACTTTTTAATGGATTATTTAACGGAACTTTCAGACTACGACTGCACTGCGTGCCCTTGCTTTGTCTACATGAGGAATCGGCTGATCGCGCTGAGGAAGCCAGCGGCTTTGTTTACATCGCAGCAGCCGGTGATTCCAGTGGAGCTGAAACTGTGTGCAGAGCAACTGTGTGGAATTCTTCAGCACATCTTTAATCTGAGCTGCAGCCTGAAGAGAGTCCCAGTTATGTGGAAAACAACCTGTGTGGTTCCTGTCCCTAAGAAAAGGCAGCCGACAGCACTGAATGATTATCGACCGGTTGCACTGACATCCCACTTAATGAAGACACCTGAAAGGCTGATGCTAGCTCATCTAAGATCTCTGGTCAGAACAGCTCTCGATCCTCTGCAGTTTGCATACCAGGATGGCATTGGAGTGGATGATGCAGTTATCTACCTGCTGGACAGAACATACTCTCACCTGGACACATCAGGCAGCACTGTGAGGATCATGTTCTTCAATTTCTCCAGTGCATTCAACACCATACAGTCTGTGCTGAAGCTACGGTTGATGCAGGTGGATGAATCTATCATCTCTTGGATAATGGACTATCTGATTGGATGACCCCAGTATGTGCGACTGCAGGGCTGTGTCTCAGACATGGCTGTATGCAGTGTTGGGGCACTCCAGGGGACTGTGTTAGCTCCATTCCTGTTCAACATGTACACTTCTGATTTAAGGTACAACACAGAGTCGGGTCATCTACAGAAATTCTCTGATGACACGGCCATTGTGTGGTGCATGAGGAATGAACAGGAGGAGGAATAGAGGAAGCTGGTGAAGGACTTTGTTGACTGGTGTAAGCTGAACCAGCTGCAGCTAAACATCAGTAAGACTAAGGAGATGGTGCTGGACTTTAGGAAGTCCAAACCTGTCTTATCACCAGTCACCATTGATAGAGTTGATGTGGAGGTGGTTGGGACCTACAAATATCTGGGTGTGCACTTGGACAACAAGCTGCACTGGAGCTGTAACACTCTCGCGGTGTACAAGAGAGGCCAAAGCCGTCTCTACTTCCTGAGGAGGCTGAGGTCTTTTGGTGTGTGTACAAAGCTCCTTTGGACATTCTACCAGTCTGCTGTAGCGAGTGCTTTATTCTGTGCTGTTGTGTTCTGGGGCAGCAGCATTAACAAAAGTGCTCTGAACAAAATAAACAAACTTTTTAGGAAGGCTGGCTCTGTTGTAGGAGTCAAGCTGGACTCTTTGGAGGTTGTGGCAGAACAGAGGACGCTCAACAAGCTGTTAGCCATATTGGACAACACCTCACACCCCCTGCATGCTACACTGGATAAACAAAGAAGCACATTCAGTACAGACTGTTACAGCTGCGCTGTGTTAAAGAGCGCCAAGTAAGATCTTTCTTACCCATTGCTATAAGGCTCTACAACCAGTCTCCTTACTGCAGAGATGGTACTGATCTCCTGCTGTCTGAACTGTGCTGAACCTCATCACTGTATCTCCTCTCCGATTAATATACACTGTGCAATATATCATAACTGCTACTGTAATGACACTTTCACTATGCACTTTACACTGTAATATTGATGCAACTCCGAATTAGTTGTCTATACTATAATTAATGTCTATACTCATTGTGCTTTTAGACTACCTCATACCACATAGTGGTAGCTATCATGTAATTACAACAAATCTATCTCTATTGCCTGGTCTCAACAACAATTTCCAAGTCCAACTTTACACTGAGGCCGAGACAAAACTGAGTCCAAATGAGGTTGAGACCAAGACGACAGAGAGACTACACATCTATCATCTCGCAACTGGTCTTGAGACCAAGACCAGACTTCAGTACTACAACACTAGCTTACAGCAATGTTCTTGAATCACAATCAAGTAAGGTCTGGAGATGTCTCTTCTTCAGCACAGAGATCTTAAGCACAGGACAGGCATTGTTACACTTCTACTATGAGCTGGTGCAGCATCTACAACCACCGCAGAACCATGTGTAGATGAGACTCCTGTTTTACCAGCACGTGTCTGAGTGCAAATACTCCTTTTTGTGAAGTTACTGAGGATAGCCAGAGGGTTTAGTTGAACCCCCCTCAAAGAATAGCTTTTCTAAGCACCTCTCTTTTTTGTCACTTCTTTGTTTTGTGATCGATGTTTCCAATTACATTTTTTTGGCCTAGCACGCACCTGACAGAGGTGCACTTCATTGTCTTTTCAAAGCGGAAAAAAGCATATTGTGATAACAATAAGGGCCACTATCATAACATGAAAACAAGAACATTTCACATAGCTATGACACTGACATAAAACAGAATTACTATAAAAGCAGATTATTATTACAGATTATAATACAAAGTAAAATACAGATGAAAACATACTAATCTAGTACTGACCAAAGAACTTCAGCTATTTGTCTTGATACAAATTCCAAATGATGCATTTGAAGCTTATTGTTTATTTTCTCCAGACAGAAGAAGCAGCAGAGTGTTGCCAGCACATTGCCATTGGATGTGCCAGGATAAGTGAGAATGATAAAAGTAATCTGAAGTGCGGCAGGGGACCCTGCAGATAAAGAAGGGCTCGATCACTCTCACATGATGCGTTCACTGACACCACTAATAAGCTCCACAATCCAATTCCCACTTTCCAATCCATGTCTTCAACACAAAGACGGCCTCAGGCAGCAAATCTCTCCCTGATGTCCTTCACAGGGCCTCAAGACATGACCACAAAGCCTCAGGGATGACAATTACAAAAGTTTGCATCTCTTGCAGGTGGTGATCACAGCAAACAACAATAACCTACAAAGCTGCTGTTGTCAATATTCCAGGCTATGCAGAATGTTGCTGTAAAAGTTTTTTTTACCCTATTTAAATAGGGGAACCATGTTGTTGTAAGTAAGGTCTTAGAAGGACTGTCAAAGTTATTAACATGTTAAAAATTATAAATGCCACTAACACAAATGATCCTTTGAACCATTTGTAGTAGTGCAGGCCAGCTGCTCACACACTGTATGTTGCTTAGTAATTTGACTGATGACTGATGCTTAGATTCAACCAATTCAAACCAACGTTTCATGACCTACTTATTGTATTCTGAAAGGTCAGATGTTTAGGTGACACTAGGCTACAGCATGTCTGAAGTATGGAAGTGACTAAGTCTAACAAAAAAAAATGGATTTGTAGCACTTGCACAACTAGGTAGAAAAGTAGGACATTGTAACACCACTAACTTTCTTACATATTTGAAGGGACACCACCCTGACAAACAGAGTTCCTTACAGCAAAAGACATGAAATCACCACACACAAAATCAAAAATTGCAGCTATTAAGCCAGTTATCCAAAGGATTCCAGCAAAAGTAATGAAATTTATCACTTTAGACATTTAGCCGTTCTCTGGTGCATTAGCAGTAAGGTCTTGATGGCTGGTTGAGCATCTTAAGTCTCATTATTTTGTACCCAGCCAATTGTGCTTAGCAAACACCTTTATTTTTAATGTCTGAAGATGAATGAATAATTGAAAATTAAAATATCATAAAAATAAAAGCTACATTTATCTAAATTGCTAATCCAGGTGTATCTGTACTCAGTATCTACATGTTATAAAACGTGTATTGGCTTCAGCAGATAAGTAAATGGAAAAAAAATATTGGATATTGGCATTGACCCTGAACTCCCATATCAGCGCATCCATACAAATCGGAGCTCTTGGGAGTGAATATAGTTGTGGCGAAGAATCCAGTATCAAATGCACATTGATCTTTGGGTGTA